CAATACTAGGGAATAGCGAGGGCCGTTGTGAAATCTGAAGCGTGAAAGGCGCATGGATGTGGTAGAGATGTGAAGAAAATATTCTGAGAATATTCGCTTCAGACTTCCCGTTAATGTAAAAAATTTCATCAAAAAGAACTTTAATTATGTAATACTTTAGCTTTTATGTTTCATTTATTCATGTAATTATTTATAAACAATAAATATATACATTAGTGTTTCAGGCGAGACTAATTTCGTCCAATTTGATCAGTAAAGCATTTTCAAATTAGGATTTCAGATAGTTTCAGACTTAAGCAAAACTTTCGATTTTGAAAAATAGTTTCGCCCAAAACATTAATATACAATAAAACCTAACAATAAAATAATCAAATTCATTATTATTTGATTACAGAATACAAGATTGTTATAATTTCGATTGTATTATTTCGTATTGTTTTAAATGGATTGATTAAACAAAAATCAGAAAACATATATAAAACGCTTGCTCAATAAACATCTACCCACTAATAAATAAAAAAGTTTCGCAACTTACTAACAAAATATTCACCTACTAATAAAATCAGAAACTTTTATGATTAATAAAATCATATATACACAACAAAATAAAAGACAAAATGAACAATCAAACAGTTAATCCAGAGACTCTCTGAAAGCACAATAGCAAAATGAGAAAGACAGATGAATAATGTGAAGTTCGTCTTGCTCGTAAAAGTGAACTAAAATGGCAAAAAGGGTCAATGAAAGCAAAGAAAGTGAGAAGAACAGCTTAGATTAGATTGTGAACGTAAAATGCAAAAAAAATAGCAGAATCTACTGAGAAACGTGAATTTTGACTTACCTGAGAACGCAAGGCTTGACGTATAACACGCAATAGTAGACAAACCTGTCAAGAAATATCAGAGCAAAATAAGCATGATATGACTGATACAGAACGTGATACAATTGACTCAAAACACCATCAAGAAACACCAGAGCAAGATGAACATGATATGACTAGCTCTTTCTAGCACTATCAGCAAGAACGAACATAGTCTTTTGCAAAAATTTTGCAGCAAAGTTGATAAAATAGAGTCTAAAGTTTATCTGATATGTAACGAAAGAATTCTATTGATGGTTCTTATCAAAGGTATGATGTGTCATTGTTGTCATATGGAGAAAAATAGCTCAAAATAATTTTTTGAGAAAAACAATATGGATCTAGAAGAGGTATCTGATGAACTATAAGGTCTCACAGAAATCGAAGAAATGTTAATAGCGCAGATTTTTATGGTCATGTCAGTATACAGACTACATAGCAGACAATACGGATATTGTGGCAACATTATTAATTTCTCACAAGATGTACACAAATTTATTAAATGGCTTCCGCAAACACTATCATCAATAGATATACTTACCATAAGGTGACAATCATCAGACGATTCAATGATTTTCTAGGATTTTATCATATAATAGGATAAAGTTGCACAAGTATTAATGTGGCTAAAAACAAATAATCGATACTATGCTGATATAATCATAGATGAAGAAATCATCAAAAACTTACCTAAAAATAGATCTATTATTAATCAGCTTCTGCAGATTGTAAGCGATCAAATAACAGACGAAGAGACAGACAATAATGAAAAGATAGATAATGACAAAGAGGAAATCATACAAACATTTGTTCTTTCTTATCCATCAACACAGCAAGAAATTGATGCGATCAAAGATACTCTTCAGCGAATGCAAAACTACAATAGTCCTTCATTGTGGCCAGAGATAGACAGAAATCCAATAAATAAATTTTAAACACCCAGATACATGGTGAGAGCGTTTCTAATGTTATATCCACATGGAAGAAGAGATCTTCACTCTAAACGCGCCAGAGACATTAAACTAGCAGAATACTTCAAACTTTTGATATGATATAAGGATAGAAGATTCGTTCGACACACACATTAGAGGTATTTTGCCTTCAATTCTATAATGAGATGGAGGGCACTTCAAGAAGGGAAAATATATATTAAGCAAAATTTCAAAGATGGACAGGTTGATGTTTCAGACATCCAGAAAATGATAACAAACAGAGACAAACAAATGGCTGATCGTATTATGAGATATGGCGAAGGATTACGCAAAACGTGACAGTTTTGGATAGCAAGATGATATGAGCTGACAGATATGATTAAACAAATAGGACATCAAGGATTAATTTTTTTTACTCTCAGCGTGACGGACCTGCACTGGCCTGAACTTTACAAATTAATACAACCTGAAGGGCATTTTAGTGAAGAGACAGATTTAGCTAAACAAAGGCAGAATAACATCATCAAAAATCCACACATAGCCAGCTGGTTTTTTCACAAGAGATTTGAAATTTTCTTTCATGAAGTACTGAAACAACATTGGGAGCTCGAAGATTGGTGATACTGTTATGAATGGTAACATCAGAGGAGTGTTCATGTCCATGGAATAGGTAAAAAGAGGAATGCACTTATAATCAACTGGAATCAAATGAAAGAAAATAAAAATGTGATGAAAAATGTGATACAATACATTAATTCAATGGTCACAACAATAAATCCAGAAATTTTTGCTGCTATACCTCAGAGACATCCATGCCAAAAAAGCAGCAGTAAAATAGAAGATGATTTACAAGATTATATTAAATTAATAAACAAGCTTCAGCAGCATACACGTTGCAGCTTTTTATATTGTATTAGACGCAATAAATCAGGATAAGAAGCATATAGATTTAGATTTCCCAAAGAGCACACTAACAAGACTTTCATAGAAGATGATATTCATGAACAACTAGAGCTTGTAACAGTTAGAAATGATCCCTATATCAATCCTCATAACAGACTTCAATTACAAGGCTGGTGTGCAAATATGGATCTTAAGCCAGTACTTAGTATTCATGCAGCATTGCAATATATTTCAAAATATGCTAGTAAATCAAAACCAAGATCAATGGCATTCTCAGAGATTTTCAATGAGATTTTTAATAAAGTAATCCTAAAAATACTTCACTCACATCAATATAAAAACTCTTAATCAATAGTGTTGCGGAATGAGATATTTCAACACAAGAAACCTGCCACCTTTTTCTAAGAATACCTCTCTACCACCCAAGCAGGGTATTTGTTTCACTAAATATTAATGAGATAGCATCAAGATGGCTACGCAATACAGGAAGTAACAAAAATGAAGAAGAGTTCGGGTCTCTCAATGATTTTGAATGCACTGCTAAATTAGCATTTAACATTTACTGGGAGCGACCAGAAGAGTTCAAAGAATATTTAATATTCAAGCTGTATTTAACACATAAATTAATCAATAGGGTATGGAAAAGATATGCAACAAAAAATATAGTAAGAATACAATCATGATTATCACCTTTACATAACAGAGATCAATAGGAGGAATATTGTAGAGTTAAAGTGATTTTTCACGTATCTCATCATAGTATCGAATAAATAAAAGAAACCAGTGATATACTGTGATCAACAATATATAATCAACAAATAGAGAAGATTAACAATGATCACGATGACACGCTTGGAGATCCTATAGAAAATAAAGAAGAGGAGATCAGCAACGATGATAGTGAAGAAGAATTAGAGGAGGATAATGAAAATAAGGAACAAAAGTTAGTCTGGATGTTTCTTTCTGAAATGGGACCAAGAGCAATCATAGAGTGATCATGTGACTTAAGTTCACGTTTAAAGGATCAGAATCATGATTGGATTAATGAAGATCGAAAAAACTATCTTGATAACGATATAGTAGAAGCCAGCAATTTCGTGCAATAAGTGGCGAACAGAAATAGGAAAAATGTCTACAAAAGTAATGAAAAAGATTTGATAAATGTCCGAAATCTAAATCAAAAACAAAATCAAGTACTTACACAAATTGAATCTCATTACAATAATATACTTAAAGGTAAACAGGTAGATTCATTAAAGATCATAATAATGGGAATAGCGGACACAAGAAAATCCTATTTAATAAGAGCGATCAGACAAACACTTCAGGCAATGTGCTAAGAAGAATCCAACCCCCCAGGTAATTGTTATAGCTTCTACAGGGGTGGCAGCGTTTAATATTAATGGAGCAACCATCCATTTCACTCTTTCTATTCCAATCTGTAACGACAAAAGATTAGTAGATATAGATAGGGAAAGACTAAAACAACTACAAGAAAGAATGAACATAGTACATTATATAATCATAGACGAAAAAAAGTATGATTGGTAGACGAATGCTTGGATTAATCAACATACGCTTGCGGTAAATATTTTCTGAGAAAAAAAATGAACCATTCGGCGGTAGATCAATAATATTATTCAGAAATTTCAGACAGTTACCATCCGTACTCGACGTTCCTATATACTTTACCAATATTTCACGGGATAGACTATCCAATAACAAAATCGCAGCTTACAAATTATTTTCAAAGGTATATAAACTCAATATCATACAAAGGCAATCAGATGATTTTGAAGTATAATAGGAATTTAGAGATATGCTTCTAAGATTACGCGACGGAGAAAGCAGTTTAAATGACTGGAAAACTCTCACCACATGATTCAAAGAAACCTTAATCAAGATGAACGAGAAAGATTCTCAGACGCAATATCAATGTTAACAAAGTGGGAAGAAGTCGATAAAATTAATATTGATATACTCAGATCATTGTAGCGACCAGTTGCCAAGATCATAGGTATACACAGCGGAGAAGTTGAAGCTAAACAAGCCAACTCAGAAGTGGCAAAAGGTCTTAAAGCACAATTACTGTTGGCAAAAGGTGCACATATTATGTTAACAGCAAATGTATGGATGGAAGGCAGATTAGTAAATAGCTCAATAGAAGTCATATAAGACATCATATTTGAAAAACGGAGGTTACCTTCTCTTCCAGTAGCAGTATTCATCACATTCGAAAAGTATGAAGGACCCACAATCACTAACCTAAAATGCGTTAAAGTTGTACCTATCGTATCTATCAAAGGTCATGGAAAGGTAAGAACGGGATACAGTGTTCATGTCTACAGATTCTCTTACATCTTGCCTAGGCGATTATTATGCACAAAAGTCAAGGACTAACATTAGAAAAGACCAAAATTGATCTTAGAAGCAAAGAGTTTACAGCAGGACTTTCTTTCATCACAATATTACGCGTCTGTTTATTAAATAATATCTCCTTCAAACAGTTCACGTTCAAAAGGTTGCTTTGTATAAAGAACTTGCGAAGGTTATAAGAAAGGAAGCTTGAAGAAGGACGACTAGTTTCATTAATACCAGAGAAAGATACAATTTAACATAATAATACGAAGTGTTAAAAAAAATAGGAACAAAGCATCAAAATATTATTTTAATTCACATTTTTCAGAAAAAATGGCAATACAAATAAAAAAAAATATAAAGCCGAAAAATTTTTTTTAATGCAAAAAGTTTTTAAATGAATTTGATAAGATTTGGGAAATAATCACGAGCAACACTGACAAACACAGTAACTGAACGTCATCATTTCATAGGTCAAGCAGACGGATAGATCGATATTTTATATTACTGAGCCTAAACTATAATAGTCCTTCGCTACGCTCTAGACTAAAAAATTAAATTTATATATTTAATAATTTTAATAAATTTCTTAAATAAAAAATTTTTATATAATTCAATTACCTTAAAATTTTTAATTAACTAATTATTAAAGCTATATGAAATTCTTATTTTATTATATAAAATTTTAATTTATTTTTATTATTAATTAAATTATAAAAACATTATAAATATTATTAACTTTATTAATAAGTTTAATTAAATAATTATAATTAACTATATTAATTTATTTAATTAAGTTAATTTTATTAATAATAATATTATTATTTTTATTATTTTTATAATCTTTAGCTATTTAATTATTAAATTGTAATTAAAATTTTAGCTTTATTTGATAATGATTTGTAAAATTATCTTTGATTCTTCTTTTATTAACTATTTAGCAGATTATCTAAATAAT